CTTTCTCTGCTCTTCTAACCCTTTGAATAAGTGCTGCTGCACTGCCATACTCATCTCCAAACCTGTGACCTGACTCCTGCTGTTAATCACCAACTCAAATGAATCACACAGGGTTTACCCGTGCTAAAGAAAAGTTCAAGCATTTCCCMCTTTTCTCTTTCATTGAACATGTCCTGGAAGAAATGAATGACAAAGAAACCCTCTCAGGTTATCAGATMTTCACCTTCTGCAGTAGTTAATTGTTGCCAACAGGCTACTCATCAAATGCTTTGGAATTGCCTMGGCCCTAGGCAGAGGAGATTTCAGCAGCTCTCTTGGGAGAGCAAGAAATATTCTTAATGCTAAGAATATTTCCTGCTACTCATGCAAAATGTGCCTGTGTTCTGTTATTCTAGTTGGCGGTCATGCCTCAACAATCTTTTTTCTCCTTGCCTACCCAGCTCAGATTCTTAGAGAGAACTCCAGGCACGAATCTCCAGCTGTGGTTATTTAATCAATCCAAACAGTTRTGTTCAGTATCACCCCTTTTTCTCTTGAAAAGGGAAAAGAAATCCCATTTCCCCCCCAGATCATAGTATTTCATACATTTCTGAACACAAGCAAGATTGCAATACTTTTGTTCATGYCAAGGAAGACCTTGCTTTATAGAAAGTCTCACCAAAAGCAACAGAACAACCTCTGAAGTGAGGAAGCACATATAAAATAAAATCATTGCCCATTAAACCAGGACAAGGAACCAACACTGGGATGTCCTACAAGCATCTGGGATGCTGTCATTAATACTGCTAGCCTACCTTCAGCTCGCTGTCAGTTTGTAGAGCAGCTGCTATGTCTGCCCAGTTTGTTCCAAATGTCAGGCTTGTTTGCTCTCTCTCATGCATGCTCTCACTCTGTCTGTGTTCCCTCTGCTTTTTAAAGACACTGCAGTGCTGTTTATCTCACTTATCCCTCTCCCTCTGAGCTCCCTGTACAACACTGGTGCTAACCACGGTTTATTTGAACTGAACACAATACAGAACTCTCAAATCCAGGTGGCACCTGGCAATTTATGAGGCTTAACCACAAAATTCATATAAACAAGGTCATCTTGTGTGAGACTCCTGGGCTCTGAGATAAGTATGCAGACTCTCTCTGCGGAGCACCTGCACTGTTTTTGAACATAAAGTGTGCATTTAAGCTTTCTTCTTTATAGTTTCATAACAGGTTTCTTCGCTGTTAACTCTCTGAGTGGAGAACCTAGTCTTGGTCTCGGTGGTGTTCCACGTCAAAGCTATTTCATTGAAGGCCAGTGTCTCGCTTCCCCAGCCRAGCTGCTGCGGTTTGGGTGAATCATAACAGGGACCACAAAATGTCCTTTCTTCTGATACCACTATTTAATTTGCAAGGATATTACCTCTTTAGTAATGTGTTTCTGGGGTCTTGAAGGCCCTGGGCAGGCAGGACAAATAAACAATGTRAAAGTTATATACTCATTGAGTTAAGTGGTAGATACTGCACCAGGTACGGTGGCCACAGACCTGGTGACCAGTAGAGTCTTTTTCCTGGAAGCCCAAGAAGAAAACCAGTGTTTWGTTTTCAYAGAGCAGCTTTCTCAAAAACTGACTCAAAGTAGAAAGATGCTGTCATACAACAGCACCCTGAAAGTTTTCAGCCTCCACATGTAACATTGTGCAAAAATTYTAGCGATCCATCAAGTCCTTTCAAATGTAAGTTCACAGAATTAGGAAGTAGGAATTTGMAATAGCAGCCAAACTATATAAACACCAAGATATTTCCCCTTTTCAGGAGACTTTGTGTTCCTGCAGAACTCAAAATCCATTTCTGACTTGCATGCTCTTCCCTGAGAAGGTGGCTGAGGGTGGCCACTGTTCTTACATTGTGGCTCAGGATCTTCCAGTTAATGCAGCTCTTTACCTGACAGCATCCTATGTCAGCCAGAGGAAAAATCAGCAAAAATTTTAATACTTGGTATTTGCTATAGTTAAAATAGGTGGGAAGACTCMCACTCTTTTATCTACTCTGTTCTTACAATGCTTTCAAGTATTAGAATCACAGAAGCCTTTAGGTTGGAAAAGGCTCTTGAGATTATCAAATGTCACCACAAACCTAACATGGCCAAGTTCATCACTAAATCTTTTCCTTAAGTGTCAAATCAACACATCTTTTGAATACCCCCTTGAGAAGGGGACTCAACAGCTTCTGTGGCCAGCCTGTTCCCATACTCCTCAGCCCTTTTTGTGAAGACATTTTTCCTAATATCCAATCTAAACCTCCCCTGGTGCAAATTGAGGACATTTCCTCTTGTCCTGTCTCTTGTTACTTGGGAAATAGACTGACTTCACCTTGGTACAACATCCTTGAAAGGAAGGTAGCTGCAGAGAGTGATAAAGTCTCCCCTTAAGCCTCCTTTTCTCCAGGCTAAACACCCCCAGCTCCCTCAGCTGCCCCTCATAAAACCTGTTCTCTAGACCCTTCACGAGTGTCATTGCCCAGCACTTCAATGTCTTTCTTGTAATGAAAGGTCCAAATCAGTGCCAAGTACAGAGAAACAATCACATCCCTGCTCCTGCTGGCCACACTAGCTCTGATACAGGCCAGGGTGCCATTGGCCTCCTTGGCCACCTGGGCACTGCTGGCTGTGAACCAGCACCTCCYGGTCTTTATTCAGCCACTTTGACTCAAGCCATTCTTCCAAGATGATGTCTTGGAGAAGTGGTAAATCCTGAGTCTTTGTGCCACACAAGAGGCTAACAGCACCCAGAAACCAGTGTAATGATTCATGCCAAAGGAAGAAATGTGTGGAGAGAGGAAACAAAGTATTTATGCAACATGCAAGGCATGGCAAAAGCAAAACGGTTCAGAGACAAAGCTTGATATCCTTGCTCAGATTCTGACACACACAAAACCCTCATGTGAAATAAATCCCCCATCAGAAACATCTGAATGGGAGTGTCATGATAAAGTAGAACAGAAGTCACAGATGTCATTCCAGGCCAAGGCAGTGTGGGACAAGGATGTCATGGCTGAGGCATTTCTAGACCTCCAAAACCATTAGATGGCTGGGGCCTGAGCTCAAGTACTCTGTTGTTTTGCCTGGACTTCCTAACAACCCACCTATTTTTACTATTCACTCCTTAGCAGYTGGAGAGACCTTTTAAAAAAAAAATCAGGTCAAGCTGCAATACCAGATATCAATCAAAATCACTCTCTGCAGTCACATACTGATTTCCTCTCTTATCTTGAAATGGCAGGCACTGTTCCCTGACAATTGTTAGTATTGAGGAATTTGAGGCTCTTTGAGAAGTTTAGCARATCTCTTCCTCTGCRGTGCTTATTCAAAACTTCACCCAGGTWGCTGGTCGCCTGTCCCGTGCCCCARGGAGCCCGAGTTCCCGTGTGAAACTGCACTGCACAGGCACCAACTTCCTTATCAAAGGAACCACATGAGCACACACAAGCCTAGTGAACTGCTTTTCTTCCAGGTACCCACGAAATCACCTTGGAAAAATATTGTCTCACAGGGATACAGCAGGCAACTAAAGATTTTAATTGATCTCAAGTTGCTACAGTTTGGGGTGTGTTTTATATCTGTATGAGCATGATTGCTCAACAGTTTGAGCTGCACAGATCCAGTACTGGGAAATGTTTTCCCTGTGCAGCTGGCACCACCGAGTGGAGAAAAGCATTTTTGCATTCGTTTCTGTTACAGCATGGGCATCAATACATGATCATGGGCCTAAGGTTCAGGTTTGGAAATTCTTCTGAATAAAAGAATTCATTTATTCTTGGGATAAAAACTCCAGGTAAGTTGCTTTAATTCTCAGTTGAAATAGGCTGGACATCAGTGTCCTTGACACTTTGCATTTTACTAAAAATAGTCTTTTTCAGACATACAAATCTCTCCATCTAAGGATACCTGTTCTGCAAAGCTGTGCAACAATAAATTTCATTGTTTCACAGGTAATGAAAGTAGCACACAATATGTTCCCTCAGCAGGAGAAAAAGGGCAGCTCTGAAATTCAGCTAGCTGTCCAGGGGTGGCCCACAAAGTTTCAATTTATTCATTTATTTATTCATTTATTTATTTATTCTTAATGTTGTTATTTCTTTATTGTGACACTTTGGAGCCCTATCTGATGACCCAGCTATCTCCATCCCCCAACTCTTCAGCTTCCTGGCAGGTCCTAACAAAAAATACGTATGTTTTGGACACAAGCAGTGCTCTGATGGGTGTGTTAGGGTCTGGCATGGCCTTGGCTCYGGGAGCAGCACTCTGCAGAGGGAGACAGGCACTCTAACCAATGGAACAAGCCACTGATTTTCAGCTCCCAGAAGGAAACACTGAAAAACCCTGGAAAATTTTGGCCCCTAGCACCCCTAAACAGCGGGAACAGAAACGTTTGGTGGATTTAAATGTGTGCTAATCAGAAATTCTTGCCAAGAAAACTCCCTGATGCAATCAGCCAAATTGCCCTCGTTCGTTTCTAAGGAAATGAAGCTGTCTGTGTTCACACTGTCCCGGTATTTCACTTCTTTATATTTCCCTCTGTCCAAGCACCGGGAGAGACTCCCCTCTAAGCTGGTCCTGGGGAAGGCAGCGCACCCGGCGTCGGTGCCTGCAGGAGACCCCACGGGAAAACTGAGGCCGAGAGAGGAAATTGTTTCTAAYAAGCACTTGGTTTGCACTGAAAAACGGCTTTTTGGCGACTCCCAAGCCGCTCGCACACACACCACCAACCCCCGGCTTTCAGCGCCTTGTTTGTGACCGGTGAGCGGAGCGGAGAGGAGCGGAGCGGAGCGCATCCTGGCGGCTCTTCATAAAAGCACCAGCAGCGGAGCAGGACAGTTCAACGCTGCCACAGCCACTGGCGGTGACAGTTTCATGTATTTTGGGGAGGAGTGACAGCGACATCGCACCGCCCTCAGGCTCTGCGGGACCGCCCCTCCCGCGGCCCCTCCGCGGCGGCAGAGGGCGCTGCAGCGGCCGTGGAGCCCCGGGGGCCGCGCTGGGTCCGAGCCGCTGCTCGGCGCTCGCCGGGAGAGGCGGAAGCGGCGGCGGGCGGGGAGCGGCCGCGGGTCGCGGTGAGTGCGGCGGAACGCGGGGGGTGGCCGGGAGGGTGGCGGCTGTGGCGGGCCCGGCCGGCCGGACTCGGGGAGCGAGGGCCCGGCCGCMCTTTGGGAACCAGGGCCCGGCCAGCGCGGGCCGCTGAGGGCGTGTGGCGGCGCCGAGCGCTTTCTCCTGGCCGGGGCTGCCGGCTGCGGAGCGGAGCTGCCTCCTGGCCGGCCCCGCGGAGCCCTGCGGCCCCTTCCCCCGAGCTCGGGGCCGGGCCGGGGTGCCGGGGAGGGGGCTCTGCTGGGGCAGGGCTCTGCTGGGGCAGGGCGCTGATGGGGCTGGGGCGCGCCGGCCGCTCTAGTCCGGAATTGAAACCGTGGCGCG